GGAGAGTTGTGAGGTTCGAACTCCAGCAACCTGAGGCTGACAGCTTTGTGGAAGCAGCCACTTAAAGGACTGAGCTAGGGCCAGGCCCCCATTAACAGCATTTTAAAGAAAAATTCGGGGCCCAGGGAGATGGCTCAGTGGAATAAGCGCTTCCCTGGCAAGCGCAAGGGCCTGAGTTCAATCTTCGGTTCCACCAAAAGAAAAAAAAATTCTGTGTGGGTCAGGAGATTGAAGCCAGAGCCTTGTGCGTGTTAAGCAAGTATTCTGCCTATGAGTTATACTTCCAGCCAGTTATGTGTTTTATACCATAAAGTTTGTCAAGTTCCTAGTTCAGTGGCTTTTGCTTTTTATTTTTGCAGTGCTAGAAGTCAACCTAAGGCCTCATTCATGCAGGCAAGGGTCTTCTACTGAGTTACAGGGTATCAGTGGCTTTTGGCATAATAACAGACTTTTGCAGCTATTACCATAATCTAATTTTAGAACATTTTCACTATCTTTGAAAGAAACTTTACGTTCATTAATAGCTCCCTATTGTATCTAGTCCCTTGACCCCAGCTCACAGCAATCACAAATCATTTTTCTCTCTGTATGCAAGCTCTGGATACTTTTGTTCCAAGGTACTTACAGGCATAGTCATGCTTAAATAAGAGTAATTGCCTTGGCATTTAAACAACAGAAAGGCTTCTCTAGGAATTTCGAAGTAATGATATAAAAAGCTAGAAACTGGATCAATGGCAGGACATGTCCTTAGCACAGATGAGTTCCTGAGTTCAATTCCCAGCATCAAACAACCAACCTAGAGTTTATGTGCTTGTGATTCTTGAATCCTTTCAAATGTTAAATTTTACTACTAAAAGGAATATTGAAGATTCTTGAATATGTCTTCATTTTTCAGTTGGTACAAATGAGACCTATAGAATTAGTTTGAATGGCCCAAATGTTGTCATCTAGTTAGTGGCTGTGAGGTACATTTTATTAAATATCATGCTTAATTGATAGATATGTGTACTGTGAAGAAGAATCCTTGATTGGAAGGATCAGATATCCTGGACAGGGTTTTATGTACCAGCCCAAAGGAGTGGACCTGAAATTCAACTTTCAAGAAATAGGAAATCAGGTAAGTGGGATAGAATTGTGCAATAATTCGTTTACTAAATATTAAGAATCTGTCAATTTTAGGTCTATTAGGTATATATATATAAGGGTATCTTTCAGTACCTGAAACCCTCAATGCACAAGAAATCGCCCCCGTGCTATACTTTTGTGAAAGACACAAAGGTCAACAAATAAGCTGACCTTGATTATTTTCTTTTTTTCAACACTGAAGATTGAACCCAGAGCCTTCACATTAAGTTAAATCCACAGCTCTTTATTTTGAGACAGGGTCTAAGTTACTAAATTGCTCAGACTGAGCTTGAATTTAAGATCTTCCTACCCCAGCCTCCCATATTGCTGCAATTACAAGCTTGCACGACCACCCTGATTACTTGCTCTCTAAAATGAATTTCAAGGTGAATATGATTGTAGCCGAAGCTGCTATACATTTGTATATGCAGGTGCCTTCACGCTCAATTCTCAGCTGTCAAGGAGACATATTTATCAGATTAGCATACTTTCTTCCCTCAGTACCTAATGTATTTTTAAGGATTTTTACAGTAGGGCAAAAGTTTCCTGCCAATCGTCGAGTAGTGACAGGTTGAATTAGTCAGTGCATACTGTTCCATCTATGCTCTGATTAATTGTGCTGTGCATAAAAGTATAAAACCCACAAGTGAAAAATAGGCAATCTGTACTAATAAATGCAGACAAACTATGCCCCAAAGTCTGTATTTAGGTTTGGGGGAGGTATTGAGAAGGATATATCTGAAAGCTGGGAGAAGAAACCCAGGCTCAACTGGAAGTTAAATTCCGTCTGTCTTTGGAGTATGCTAGTCAGTAGTAGCAATTGGAAGTCGCCTGGCCCCAGGGTTGTCTTCAGGTGGCGGATCATCAGACCTCTGGGGATTGTTCAGGCATTTGCTCTCTGCTGCATGGAAATAAGACTGATGCGCATTCCGCTGTGGAACCTTACCTGCAGACTCTTAGGGTCATAGAATGTGTTCTTCCCTGCATTAAAGGGTTTTCCTAGTATTGAGGATTGAACCTAGGGGAGCCCTGAGCTATATCCTTTACCTTTTTATTACATTTTGAGACAGGATCTTACTACTTTGCTCAAGGTGGCCTTAAACTTGTGAACCCCCTACCTCTAATCCTGAGTAGCTGGGATTATAGGCATGAACCTCAGTGTCCAGCTCATTAAAAGCCCCTGATTCTGCCATGCAGCCTGTAAGAATTAAGAGGCGGCCTCAGTGGTACCCAGCTCAGGCATGCTTGTTCTTTTAGGGTCACAGAAAAATACTCTGCAGGTTCTGAGAAAGTTTTATGAGTGTTTTGTAAGGTTGATAACTTCCCAGAATAATGTTTTTATCTCCTTTCCAGACTAAGATTTCACTCAATGACAGATTCTCTAAACTGGCACTTATGAAGAAACAAGGAATTTTCATTAACAACTGAAAGCCAGAATGTTCTTTCCTAGTGAATTCTATTCAAGAGCATGTGCATATTCACACATTTACTACTACTTGTGTATTTTTTTCTATGTAAGATTTCATGTAATCTGCTAAAATTTAGTAATTAAGTGAAAGAAGTGTTTAGATTGCTTTTCATAAAATAACAGGAAGGAAGGCAAAAAGGGAGGTGATTTCAAGTGAGAGATTTTAGGAAAATAGCTGCTTCAGCCCTGAATATCTTTGCAACATTGGAGAATTTGTTTGATTTTATTCCCCTAAAACCTGCTTGACTCCTAAGACACCTCCATTTTATCAGTGTAAAAAAGTATGTTTTATGACCAGATGCTCTTATTGCATAAGACAATAATTATTAAAATCTTATGTTTGTATGCCAGCTTTTACATTTTTATAGAAACTTTGTTTTACTTTGGAGACTTTTATAAGAACTTAAAACTCCTATGTCATTTTATTTTGTGAGCATATGAAACAAATAAAGCTTAAATATAAATGTGACTCTTTTCTGGTCCTTGGGTATTTGGGGCTCAAAGTGACAGAGATCCTGTTACAGACAAATGATCGAAGTAATTTGGAGCTCAGTTCCTGTGTTCAGCTAAGCCTGTTTAGCGTACACTGAAAATGGTGAATTTGTAATTATCTGGTATTTACATGTAAGACTGGTACTGTTAAACCTAAATTTAATAAATTCTGTGCTCATTTAATAGTTACTTGTACAAGGGGAAAGGAGAAGGAGAATGGGAGAGTAGAGGGAAGAAAAAAAACATGCACATCTCCATATTTTTGTCACTAAACAGCAATACCCTTCACAGTACCATTTCTCATTGCTGGACAGTTAAGGCTGTTACAGCTTGAGTTTTTGTAAGTTATATTTATAATGAGGTTCCATGTACTGTACTTATGTCTTCATAGTACATGTATAATTTATTCTATATGCTAATTTTCTAGAAGTAAACTGCTAAATATATATTTAGAATGTTACACATGTTGATAATTGCTGGGCAGAAAGGTGTTACCATATGACATCCTCACTACCAGGAGAAGCTTGTTTTCTCCTGTCCTCACTGACAGTATAGTATAGCAATTGTTTCAGGGTCTTACTGATGTGTCGTAACTGATAGAAAGAGACGGCATGCGGTCATGAACTAAATAATACATTCTAAGCTGTGAATGTTCTCTCTGTGTTAGCAGCCTTAGAACTCAACTTGCTTCTCTACCCTGAAAGCATCGGAGGTGCAGGAACGCAAGCCATCAATTTGGACAAGGCCAAGAGTTAAGCAGTCTACCTTTGAAACATTTATTTATTGTGTGTGTGTGTGTGTGTGTGTGTGTATGTGTGTGTGTGGCCAGCTCAGCCCACCAGGGGGCGAGGCTGGCTGGCATGTGGTGCTGGGGGATCGAACTGTGGTCCCTGTGCTTTGCCAAGCTTGTTCCAAGTAGGTGCTTTAGACCACTGAGCCATCTCGCCAGCCCAGCAGTCTACCTTTGGCAGCTAGTGAATTAATGAGTCAGGCCATTTTTGCCTCATTTGACATCAGTCCTAGTGTATATTTTTCAGGTGTGGCCTTAGACCTGAACATTCTTGGGCCTCACTTCAGACCTCTTGAATCAGAAGTTCTGGTCCCTGGCAGTCTGTTTTTGTTTTTTTTTTTTTTCCTCTAGTCAAGAGAGGGAAACTTTATTCAGGCCCCAAGGCTGCAGGCGTTGGGCAGGTGGTGCCCTTCTGGACGAGGGGCTGGCTGAGCTTTATTTGACCTTGGGGCGCAGGTTGTTGGTGTGGCCACACTTCTTGCGGCAGTTGACAGCACGGGGGTGCAGGCGGGCATAACACTTGCGGCAGATCATCTTGTCACAGTTGTACTTCTGGGCAAGCTGGCGCAGGGATGGCTCGATGATCCCACCTCGCAGGTGAAGCACCAGGTGCAGGGTGGACTCTTTTTTGGATGTTGTCTCTTTTTTGGAGGATTGAACTTGCTACTCCTTGCATCCCTGAGCTATTCCCCTAGCTTTTCGTGACTGCCTTTAAAGGTTTCTCTCAGGTGTTTGTGCCCTCTGCTAACTGAATCCTTACCATCCATCAAGCTGTAGCTATGTTACCCTGAACCATTCAAATAGGTGGACAGGAGCCGGGGAGATGGCGCAGTAAAGTGTTTGCTTGGCAAGTGCAAGGGCCTTGAGTTCAATCCCCGGTTCTGCAAAAAACAACTAGGTGGAGAGGACTGGCCCCTTTGTGATTTGATCCCTCTGTATTCCCGCTCCATCCCCAGCCCTTTGCTGTTTCCTCCCAAGTGCCTATCAAACTGCCTGGTCTTGGGGCCAGGGAGATGGCTTAGTAGGACAAGCGCTTGACGGGCAAACACCAGGATCTGAGTTCAATCCTCGGTTCCGCAAAAAAAAAAAAAAAAAAAAAAGCATGGTCTATAGAAGGTTCTCAGTATTTAGTTTTTTGAGGGAAACTCAGTGACTTAAAGAAGCATTGCAACAAGTTGGCTTGCGGCTCAGTGATAAGTGCTTGCCCACCATGCAGGAGGCCCTGAATTCCATCCCAGCAACACACACACACACCCTAAAGACTGGGGAGGGCTGGTGAGATGCCTCAGTGGTCTAAAGCACCTACTTGGAACAAGTTAAGCAAAGCACAGGGACCGCGGTTCGATCCCCCAGCACCACATGCCAGCCAGCCCGCCCCCTGGTGGGCTGAGCTGGCCACACACACACAAAATAAATAAATAAATATTAAAAAAAAAAAAATAAAGACTGGGGAGATGCAGTAACGTGCTAGACTTACAGAGCTGGAGGAGACTTCTCATATTCACTTTACCATTCTTACAAAAAAAAATTTTTTTTTAATGTACTTGGTTGTTGCAGGGTCTCTCTACACACCTCGGACTTGTGACCCTCCTGCTTTCAGCCTCCCCAGCGCTGGGATTACAGGCATGCGCTGCTACTACTACTATCAGACTCTGGCGGGTTCAGCCTGCCCTTGGGGCAGGGCTCTCGCAGCATGTAGTGCCCAGGATCGAACCATGGTCCCTGCGCTTGGCTGAGTTGGCCTAGGCAGGCGCTTTAGTCCGCTGAGCTCTCATTAACCCACTTACAAAAATTCGAGATAATCCTATTTCACTGCTATGAAAAAAAATTGTGAAAATAACAGCACATAAACGTAATTACTTGTTTGGTTTATACATCTAATGCCTTAGATTGTATGAGCTCTTCGCCTGCATTCTGGCAGTGTCGCGCTCCAGCTGAGTTGCGCACGAGCCAGCAGATGGCAGCATTCAACTTTCAGAAATCGCATGTAGTGCATTAGAAGAAAGAAAAAGAGGAAAGGAAAAACAAAACAACACCGTATACTTAAACAAGTCGTAGGGTGTTTGAATACTCCGGAAAACGGACATTTATTTGAAGCTGGAAAGCATTTTGCCTTGCAGCAGGTTCCCAGTTTATTTTGGACAGATGTTCTTCAAGCTCTGCTGGAAAAGCCAGCACAGGTAGGTGTCGCATGAGCTCCCTGTATCCTGTCGCGTGGTGCTC